TAGCTCACACAGTTCATGGGGGCACAGAGAAGGGGATTCTTAACTCGCCCACTCATTCTCTTGCATTATCAGGAATGTGATTTATGTGTGTGCTTTAATAAACATGAAATGCCTTATAGTCATGTGCCTTCAAAGTATCTCTGAATATACTTATCCCAAGGACACCAAGAATGGCATAACAGGCCTTTTTTTATAGCACTTCCTCAGGTAAAGAACAGCAGATGAACTCCAGGTCTTGCTTCTGTCCATGTGTGACACAGCAATAATGAGAATACAGTTTTGATTGAAGGGACTTATTTTTCCACAGGCTGTGGTGCCCCTTGGAAACACACAAACAAGAACTCCATTCTGACCTATCACTGTGCTATTATATCTTCCACTATTATAGCACTGCCTATATATTGCATTACATTTCACTATATCAGCAATCCTAGATATACTTGTCCTATCACTTATCAGATCCATATTATATATACATAATTTTTTCTTATAATTCTCTGGCAAGCAGTCTGAAACAGGACCAAATTTCTTGTTGCTACAAGCCAGTCCAGCCAGAGGAAACATGCCAATTTGCAGAGGTCCTTTATATACAGTTTGCAACAGATACACAAATTTGATCTGTTTCAGCTAGTTTTGCCTGAGGTATCCCAATATCCAGCTAACCCAAATTTCCAGGTTAGGATGATGAGGCAATCAGGCTACAGACCTTTGCTTGCTTAACCATAGGAGGCACTACTCTCTTCTTGATGCTTTACAGTAAATCCTTGGCACAGCTTTCATTCATTTTCACTTCACCACCATAGTGTGAATTGGCCTCCAATGCTGACATTCCTTCTGCCTAAACATGCTTTCCCCCTTTATTTTCTTTGTTGTGCTTCCTGACATTTTTATTTTCAGGGTCACACCCTACTCCACTGCACATTTTGAGCAAAGCAATAAAATTACTCACATAAAGCCCCTGCAAGAACTGGACCCGTTGCTTTCATCAGTGAGCCCCACTCAAGTTTGATTGTACAGATCTGAATAACTGGAATATGTTTTAAGGCATAAAAGCACATTGTTTCATATGCTCAGGAAAGTCGGTGATGACGGGTAGATCTCAGCCTGCGTTGGAAATAAAGTACCTCTCTAACAAGTTGTCAATCTCAATTAAGACATCAACATGTCAAATTAAGAAGGTACTGCTGCACAGCCTATTGTTGAACTGTGTGTCAGGTGAAATAAGCACTAATTATACACTTAGCCAAATATGTCTGTTCAATATTACTTCAAAACTAAGGTCACTGAGTTATTGTGAAGTGGTAGTTTACACTATTTTGGATCCCACCAAATGGCAGGTGGCCATACAAATATGCAACTCAGCATGTTCTGCTTGGTCCCCACAGCTGTGCTGCCAATCAGTTAAGGATGGCTGCAAGTAAATGCTAATTAGCTTCTGTTGATCTGCATATTCCAGCAGCCTCCCAGGATTCCCATTTTGATATGCAAGATTGCCAGTTGGGTATGTGATTGAATTAAGAACCAGAAAAGATTTTATCTTCCATGCAGGAAAATGTGGGTCTGAATCCCCAGTAGAGGCTGTTATCACTCTGATTTATGTTTGGCAATGCCTGTCATTGGAGTGGTAGCAAAGGCTCAGTGCTAGAGGGTGCTACCTCCCTTCTTTTGAAGGAGAAAGAGCCTCCTCATTAAGAGCAAGCACTCACCATCTGGGGTCCGACCCACTCCTTGGCTTTGACAATTGCAAGGCTTCCACGTCTGCTTCCCCATGCAGGGTCCAGCAGATGCTCTTCTGTAGGTTGACTGGTCCTCAAAAAACAAAACAGAAATTAAAAAAAAAAGGATAGAAAGAAAATCAAAGAGCAAACAGATTTAGAGTGATAGGTTTGGGTTTTTTGCATTGGTAGGTTCGCAAGAGGTAAAAAAGAAAAAATTAAAAAGATTTCCCAAAGTTTTCCATAGCCCATTAATAGTTGGCTGGTTATGTTTGCAAGGACCACTTAAGAAAGAAATGGCTGGAAAGTTGCACTTCTGGGAGCAGAGTGTTTAGATTTTGCACCTGTACTTCATAAATGAAAAAAATATGACCTCATTATGTAAACATTACAATAACAATTTTCAGAAATTTTGCTTGGCTCTGCTATTAATGAGCACCGGTTCCCTGTAGTGAGGAAATTATATTTCTCAGAAATCGCTCACCACATATGATGGCAAAATAAAATTTGTCTCATCTTTGTGATTTTTCTCTTTATGGTTTGATCAGACATCAGAAGAAAAATTATTATTTAATTATCCTGCCAAGTTTCTGTAGGTTGTTATCAAATTGTTTCTTGTCTTGAAAATAAGTAAAAAAAACCCAGTTGGCTTCAGAGTGATGGAACATTGTATTCTGTGTTAAAATGCTGGGAAACTGTTCTTCCTTAGGGATTTGAAGTTGTTTTCTTTTTTAAATGATGCTGTTCTCCCATTCATAAAGCTTGTCAGCTCTCTGCTGTAAACGAGACACCAAAGTACATGAGCAATAATCCAGTTTAATAAAGTTTATAGGAGAAATTAATAGGTAAGATTTCACTGCAAATTTCAGTATCATATTAATGTACAAACCCCTGAAAACAAGATTACAACCACTGCTTTAAAAGGTACTTGTGTAACCTGACAGAGTTGAAGTTGAAAACATACTCCTTTTTCTAAAGGACATAAAAACCAAATTGATGTGTTTAGAGGCAACACTTCAATGTGTCCCCAGTATTTTCAAAATTGCTCTATTTATGTGTTTAGAATTAATACAATTCAAAAAGGTGGGAAAGTGTTTAAAAGAAAGAAATGACTGACAAGAATTCTAAGTCAAACAAGACTTGCTATCCCTTCTATTATATGTACTCATAATGAGTCGGTCTTAATTGCAGAAATAACCTACATATATATCTATATCTAGATAAAGATATATATTATATAAATATACATATATGTATATGTTATATATACATATTTTTTATATATATATGTGGGATGAAGACCAAGCTTCTATATGGGAGAAACAGCTGTGAATTCATCCTATGGACAAAAAACTTTAAGTTTTTATGTGTTAATGTTTATATAGTTTATATGTTTATAAGAAATTGGAATTATCTATAAACTGAGCACTATTAAAATCTTGTAAGCCCATGCTTTAACCAGGTCATTTTTTAATAGGCTGTGCATTATCACTATATATATGGCCCCAATTCCTCAAGGCAATGAAGCACATGGTTAACTTTAAGCATCCTGGAAGTCAGAGACTTATTTGCTTTGTTAAATTAGGGCCTTGGGCTTCTGGTGTTATTAAATAATATGTCATGCTTCTCTCCATTAAGCAAACTGCAAGAACCAGACAGTTTGGGAGGTGTTTTGTTTTAACTTTTTGCAATGACGTGCTCAAAATAAGTATCTTTGTCCTCAAATACATATGGGCAAGAGTAGCTTCGTGCCCTAACATATTGCACAAGCTCCAAGGAACTCAGGAACTAACACTGAGAATGGATAAGTCAGAAAATGTCACCAAAAGTGCAGTTCAATCTATTTTTATAGTTTTACCATTGACACATTTCAGAAGAAGGTTTTGAAGTGCTCTGTGACCTCTGTTTATCAGATCGCAGAGACTTACGTCACTTGTCCAAGCCTGGCCAAAACAGACAAGGACTTTCCAGTCTGCAAAGCAGACTGGGAGAAAGCAATGAATACTGTACTGCATAAAATCTAAACCAATGCAAAAAAAACCAGAAAAAAATAGCCAAATACACTCTTCATTTCTCACAAAACTGCAGTTAAAGGCACTAAAGAAGTTATCAGGCAGCTAGTTTAAAATAAAGAATAAAAAATGCTTTTTTTAATTTTTAATATGCATATGTGATAGATGAGGTGATAAAAGGTAATAAACAGTACTTGGAGTGGACATGCTATGAAACTCATGGAAAGTCTTTGTTGTTAAACAACATTAATCTATGCACAAAGAGATAAGATTAGGCTATTATATTTTGGAATAAATGCTCTATTCATGCATTCACTACTATCAAGTGAACTGCTGTAGTAGTGGTGATACTGCTTTACAGAAGGACTACTCAGAGGAAAGATGTATTTGAACAATATATCAACGTATCATTCCTTACATCAAAATAATAAAAGTTGTTTGTCCACTTAGCTCTACATTCACATTTCATCTTTGTTTGTAAATCAGTGGTTTCACCTAACAAGGTAGAGTCTGATTTTTGCTTTTGTTTAGTAACTCCACAAAAGCAAATACCAGAAATTGACAGTTAGTGTACATATCAAGGGGAAAAAAATCACTACAATGAGAATTATTAGCTCTTGGACCTGTCTTCCAAGGGAAAAGGTTATTCTGTTGAGTTCTTACTGTCATTTTAGCTTAATCGTAGGACAAAATCTTGCCTCAGCAGTGAGGAGTGAACCCAGGACAAAGCCCATGTGTACAAGTAATCTTGCATTGACAGTTGAAAACAGAAGAATTACTGAAAGAGAAAAGCTTTAAAATGGCAACATAAATCTGAATAATCTCACTCAAACCATATCAAAGCTAAAAGCTATTCAAACTAATTTCTCTGGAGATTGGGCTGGACAATCTTCAAGCAGGAACCTGCTTCATTTTATGGATGTGAAGTAATATGATTCCTTTTCCTGGTTCCAGGGCGACTGAACTAAAAGATGGAGTTCTAAATATGATGGGAATAATCTTCCTGAGGTGGCTTCAGTATTCCGAGAGCTCTACATAAGCAATATATAACATTAGCTCTTGTCAAAGTGACCAGAAACTGGTCGCTTGATAGCAAACCAAATAAATAAATACTCTGTTTTACACCCAAATATATGTTCCTATCTTACTTCTTTTTCCTAATTTTACCCTTTTCATAGGCATTGGCCACTAAAACTGACCGGCTGAGATCCAAACTCCTCTGAACTTAGAAAGCTTGTAGGATGTTTGCTCCAGAGCCACACATCTCTCAATGAGAACAATGAGGGAGGACACTCAGCTTGACAGCTAGGGCGTAAAACTCCCATTCTTTCCTTAAACACAAAAATGATGAAAACATTTATTATGAAACATATTTTCCATTACTGTATTGTAGAATGTAAACAAGTTCTCATGACATATGGGGCCATGTGTTTCCTTAAAGAGGTGTTATGTATGTCAGAAGCAGCATATGTACCGTGTGATACAGCTACCACCATGGTAAGCATTTGTTATTGCCTAGTGAACAGGTGCATAAAATCCCCATGTAAACAGATGTCATAGCTGCACTGACATCTCTTACTCATGTCTACTCCTGCAGGAAAATGAGGGGGTTTGTTTCCCCTTCTTGGGTGTTTAATGTGGACGGCCTAGACTTGTGTGTTTGCATCTTCCCACTTTCATGTAGCTCCTTCTTGATTGCACAGTGGCTTTTAGAAGGAAAAACCAGCCCAAGAAGAACCATTTTCTGTAAGGTACTTCAAAATGATGCTCTTTCCAGAAGTCTCCATACAGGCAATTTTAACAGACGTATCCAGTTTCATAAAGAAACTAACTCAATACAGAGAGTCCTGAAAGGCATAACCAGATTTTCTCTTGATTTGTCTCTTACCCCCTACAAGACAATTTTTCCCATGAAAGAAAATTTTAAAAATCACAGATAATTCAAGCGGAGCCCACTAGAAAAACTCAAAATATACACAAACGCTAGGAGAATCTCTGACCACTGCTCTTTAAAGTCTCACTTTGCATGGTGATCTCACAGCAGATCTCACTGGGAGTCTTTGCATGACCAAGAGTCCCTGCAGTGGAGCCAACCCACTCGCACTTCTCATGTGAGAAAATCGTCCTTCCCCACTAGTGATCTCAGAGTTACCTGCACATCTCACGAGCTCCAGGTGCTGTTAATTTACATCTTAATTAGTACAACCCTCAATTATCAGGTTGCTTTGATGAGAATGAGCCAGAACCTTGCAGAGCCCTTTGTACAAATCGCCTGAACCCTTTAGAAGACTCAGTAATGTAAGGAGTAAACATAAATATGTCATTTCCTTTTGTCAAACATATGCATTCAAGTCAGGCAAAAAGTCTCGAAAGCTAAGTGTGGTACAGCTTCACACAAACATGTAGGGGCTTCTGTGCCAGATCTGGCTCTTCCTTCTCACACCTTCTTTTAAATTGAGATATTTGCCAGAACTTTTCAATGTAAGCCAAGGCTGTGGCTCTCTGCTGTTCTCAGACATGGTCACATTTGTGCTTGTCCTTGCTTGGTACATATTAAAATAATATTTTTTCTCCCTTTCACCCTTCCAGAGCAAAGTAGTCTGTTTTTGCTCAGATACTAAATTTTTAATGCAGTTTTCATTTTAAATTCCTTTAGCACAGTTTCTGTGGTTCTCTTTGCCTTCCTTCTTTCCCCACTCCCCTCTGCTGTGGCTTGTCAGACAAAAGAAAAAGCCATTCTCTCAAAATTATGAAAAAAGACAGTATATTATGAACATGAATCTGGGCTTGATCCAAAGCCCACTGGAGACAAGGCTATTCTTTGCATTTATTTCAACAGGCTTTGGATCAGTCTCTCCCTCAGCAAAAGTCTCTCAGCACAAATCATTTAAGTCATTAACCATGGCAGGTTTCTTTCCAGTGAAACACAGTATGGGTGGCAGCAGCTAACCCTGCAAAAAATGTATATGGTAAATCTGAGCATGCTCAGCACCTTATTTATGGCAATTTCTGACAGATAAGCCAGGGTACACAATATCCATAAATTACTAATAAAGGAGGTGGTGTGTGCACCAGAAGCAGCACAAGTGCAAGCAGTAGCCCTGTTCAGGTGGCTGAGGACCTACCATTTCTTGGCTTCCCTGGGGTTTCTATGGGCTGGTGATGACAAATCACAGTGAGAGCCTGTCCTTTACAGAAAATGTCCTGCAAGCCCAATCCTGCTGACAGGGATGAGCTGAGGCAGTGAAAGGAGTAAAGCACAAGCCAAGGAGATGGAAGGTAAATCTGCTAGGGACCACCTGGGAGAACTGATCCTTCCATGAAGAGACAGGCCTATAGGAAGGAAGAGAAAAAGTGCTGCGTGGTGATCATCACCGACTCCACAGACTGCCAGCAAATATCGCTGGTTTGGCTGCAGGTGTGGAGCTACAGATGGCAGAAAGGTCTCTTCCCTGGCCAGAGGGGTCTGACTCAGCTCCAGCCAACTGCCTTCAGTCACCTCTCACTTCTGGAAACATCTCCGATTTTTTTTTTTTCCCAGGAACATCTCTCAGCCAAGGACTGACCTGATCTGGCACAGCTGAGCTGGAGATCAGACAAGATCACAGTCTAGAGCCAGTGGTACAGCTGCAGGCTGTAGCAGGATCCATAGTACACCCTGGGACTAGGGAATCATCCTCCTTTCTTCTCTGCTTCCTTGCATTGCCTTTCCAAGAATCTGCAGCGCAGAGAAAATCCAGTTTGCTGGTTCACAATGATATTTACATTTCCAGTATTTAAGTACCACTGAGAGATGCTCTACAGCCATTTCCCAAGGAATTTTTCCACAGTTCTCATTTCTGAGCAAAGGAGCAAGTTACAAGTCTGGGCCCAAATGAGAAAAACAACCATCACATCCATATAGCCCCATCTTTCTCCTCATTCCCTGATCACTTCATTAAGTGTGAACGAAACCATTTTTAACTGACACCAGTAATTTCATACTACAGTTTTTTAAGGTGTTTCTCATGCTTTGCAACAAATAGATTCCTCCATTTTTATTTCTGGCAGGAAAAATCTTTGGTACATCAGTGGCTGGATCAGTGGCTGAATCAAATGAAGGGATTCATCCCAAGATCAGTTCTGTTTTCCATCCCTCCTCTCAACCAGTACTGAGCAGCAGGGTTGGGACAGGCAGATGCACAGCATAAGGACCTGTTGTTACTCAACATTCAGGTATCAAGACAGCACAGAGGGGAGAAGATGTTCTTTCAGAGAGGAGCAAAATAACTTCTGGTCACAGCATTGACTCAGTTTTTACACTTTGAGATAGAAGTAATATGATTTTAAACTTTAATTAGAGTTACTAAAGAAAAATGGCTGAAAGAATATATTTCTGGATCCAAAATTTGGATCCTAGAATGGGATTCATGACAGGGGTTTTATTTGCTTTAGTTACACATACCTCTGATTGCTCCTTGGGGTCTTTAGCAGAAATAATAGAAAAAATGAGCCAGAAAATGAGCCAGAAAGCAGACAAACTGTTTTACCCTTATAAAGTGAAAAAATAAATGGGATAAATAGGGGAATGTGTTAGAAATTGTGATGTTTATAAACTAAAAATTATTGGGGAAAATAAAAGTATGGAAAGCCAGATTGTTAAAGAGCTGGCTTTCTAGGGGGAATTAAGTACTACGATATATCCTAAACCATATTGTATCACCCAAGGTCTATCAAAATGTCATTCTATGGTCCAGATTTTACCTTCCCCCATCATTGCTGGTGTTTGTTTTCACAGAGCCTTGACTTAGCTCCGTAATGCCCCTACTGAGTAGGGTCCCTTGAGAAACTCCATTCCTCTATTTTATTTTTATAATTTTCTCTGGTGATTAATTTCTGAAAACATATTTCAACCTTTCAATTTCTAGCACATATCTCATTTCACATGTCATGGGAAGCAAAAATGTATTACTTTTTTTGGGGGGGTGGTATTTCCCTTCTCTCCCACCTCCCATATTTAACTAAATCATTTCTTTTTCAGCTGAGCAGAATGACAGAGAGGTTTTGGTGTGTTGCCACAGTTTTTAGCCTGGTAGGGCTGAGACACCACAGACCAGGCTGACAGCTCCACTGACCCCAGCAGGGCTTCACCGTGCTCCTCCCAAACAATGAATGATCCGGTATCCCGATATTTCCCAGTACCAGCACTATCCAATTAGCTTTGGCTGGAGTAGGTTGACAGAAAACTGGAGAAAGCGTGTTCTACTTCAGGTTCTTGATAGTTGATTTGGACCCCATGCTGTGATGAAGTGCTGGATGCTGATATGCATCAAATCAAACAGCGCAGAGGTAAAGCTGCGTGACAGCTTAAAAAAAAAAAGTAGGAGAAATAAAAGAGAAATAAGTGATCCTTCATTTCCAAGGACTTCCGTGTCTTATCTTTCCAATTATTACTTTCCTGGGATGTCTTGTTTGTTTCCACCAGACGGAAGTAATACAAAATTATGTAAATCAGCTTTCTTGAAGTAAAGAATCATGGACCAGTCAATAATGTTTATGCATTAAGAAAGGGCAGCTCCTCCTGGAAGAAATAACACAGGGAGCCGATCATAAGTAAACATTTCTAAACAGACAAAGGGCTGGTCCCTGCAGCACAATATATTATCATATTTCCACATAATTAGTTTGTTTTCCACTTGAAATCAGAAAACGATTCGACATTCCATTCTGTGCCTCAGGATGGTGCATACAGTACAATTCTCATGTGCAGGTTCATATGTTGAATAATTAGTAAGAATTAATCTGTTGAAATTAAAGTTTGGAATATTATAGAACTCATGAATAGTGCATGGAACAATCAAGTAAATTAAACCAGAAACAGAATTTAGGAAGCCAGACAATAGCAGATGACTGCTGGCAATCTGTTTTTTAATCAGTGTATTACAAGCCAGAGGGATGAATATTGTTACTGACTTTGGAAAATAGTGTAAAACGTTAGCAGGCACAATAAAGAAGACTTAGGAAGTAAGCACATTTTTACTATGTTTGTTTAGGAAGGGCACTTCAAAAGGACCTGCTCACTTAGGCGTGTATGTGCTCTCCAGGATGCTCAGATTGAAAAAGACTGGACTTACAGAGCGTCCTGTACTTCTGGTCTGCTCTGCAAGTGCACTAAGGACTTCCAAGAGCTCCATCCCTGTCTATTTTAAAGTTGCATTTGCCTATCTGGAGCCAAAAACGTGTAAGTTTCTTTTTAGTTTCTTTAAAATTACTGACTGAGTTGTTATAAATCTTAGGCAGCATGAGAACAGGGTGGCTATTTCTCATTTTAAGAATTCAGAACAGCTATACCTTAGTCCAATTTTATTTTAAATGCATCTAACCATCATCAAGATTTTAGTTTTTTTGCTTGCTTTAGTGCGAAGAAAGCACTGGTCATGTCTTTAAAAAAAAAAAAAATTGAGAGCAGTCAGAAATCCTGTGAGGACTAGGTTGACTCATGCTGAAACATATATATTCCTTCCCTTGAAGGGAAGAGTCTTAAATCTACATGCACACTTGACTTTTTCTGTTCTGTATGATCCTGTTAAATTGGAAGACGTTTCCAGATCTGTTTGAAAAATGGCCACTACAGTTAGCTGAAACTTCAGTCTTGAAAATGAATGAATGGAGCTGGTCCAGTACATTGGCTCTGGACCAGTCTTTAAAATACAGCAGAACAATGAATAACTGAATTCACAGCCAGCTGGTATCATAGTTGGGCAGTGAAAGTGTCAAAATATTAGTGACTTTTTTACATTTGTCAAAATCATTGCCAATATGGGAAGCATGGGCAGCTTGCAAATGCGAATCTTACACCAAAATAGTTTTAAAATCTTGCCTTAAGAATGTGAGTGCAGCTCCTGGTTTTATCTCATCCATCACAGAAAAGACGGAAGAGAATAAAATATCTTTTACTTAGAAGATAAAAGCTATTATTGATTTATCATCAAACATCAACTACTAATGTGGTTGAGTGGTGCTATATGCCCTGAAGGAATAATGGATCAACCGGCATTTCTGTGTCTTATTTTCTGGAGTCTAATAAGTCCATTCTAATATGTCCATCATCTGATTTGTTTCTAGGATGTTGCAGGAAGGGTCTCCTATAAAAAATAAGTATAAAATTTATATCTGTATACACATACTCACACAAGGTAAAAGAGAAGGAAACAGAGTTTGGCCATGCTTCAGTTCCAGGAGAGAAAAAGAAAAATAAACATATGTTAGTGGTGTCTGACACATCTTTCTGCTCCAATAATTTGAAAAACGTTTGTTTTATTTTTAAAACAAAATTTCGCTGGCATTCACTGGATGATGCAGTTGAGATAGTTTCACTCTTTTTGGAAAGAATAAAAAAGCATCTACACGACTGAGTTACTCCACTGCAGCAGAGCAGAAAGACTCTGTGCTCAGTTTATTCTCCAGCAAAAGAAGCTGGAGAATTTTTATTACCTACTTAGTGTGTGTTTTCTTACCCTCATTGAGGCAGATCTGTTCATGTATCAGGACTCCAAAGGGGCTACATCAATTATCCTTCGTGTGACTATGTACATGACAGCCCAGGACCACTCAAACCAAACACATCTATCATGGAACACAATGGATTTTCACAGAGAGTTTTGGAGACCTGAACCCTCTGACAAGTTATTGATGATCTCTAAAGGCCTGATGTGCAAAAATGAGTGCACAATTAACTCTCCTGACCAGTTATATTAGCATCTATGGAAGCAATCATGGAGCTAATTAACTTGGGAGCTGCAGCTCCATCACGCACAGGTGGATTTGTGGGAGGACAGTGCAAAACTTCCACTGACGCATTTCAGACACAAATCAAAACACAACTTTTAAAAGAACAGGACATACCTACTCATTTTTTCATTGAAAGACTAATTTCCAAATCAAACACATGCATAGGCAGATGTATACTTTATATAGGTAAATTCCCTGCAGTAATTAAGAGAAGCTTTTAGCTGCCTCTGTGCCTAAATATTTATTGATTCCTTTTTTTTTCTTCCTTTGGAATTCATTAGTTAAATGAATAACCTCTTTATATTCCTCTATTAGTTTTATACTGAAAACCAGGAACCTGTGCTATTTTTCCCTGCTCCTCTGCAATGTTCTTATTTCAGCAAAGTAAGGTTTGAGCTGGAAAGTTTCCCTGAGAAGATTTTCATTTCTCATCTTGTCTGATGCAAAGTAAAGAGTATGCCAAGTGCCACTGACCTTAACTCTCCTGAATCAAAAATATCTGATGTGATATATAGAAAACTTTGATGTGTAGATATGCTAATCAGCAGAGAAATGTCAAATTTGCATATATTTCAAGTGACCCAACAATATTTACCTTAGAGCTAAGTTTCATATTTTTCTGACAATTGCAGCATTGAACAAGTGACTCATTTAGCATATCTAAGCAGCATTATGTCACAGGGATTTACCTCAGAGTTGTTTGAAAGCATCAAAAAGATGAACATCACTGTCTGAAATTAACAACAAGTCTAATTTGATTTGACAAATGATGTTGATTTAGATAGGGTCACTAGCTATTGAAGATGCGGAGGACAAATAGTGCCTTGAAGCCTTGATAAAACTGAATATTTAAACAGTTCATTATGCAAATTTGCCCTCTACCTGTCAGTAGTGACTAAAGTATAGGGTTAGAGTGCTGGAGAGGCTCGGTGCTAAGGAGATGACTGGTATACATGTACCTGGCTCTTCTTAAAAAAACAAATCCATAGGCATTTGCAAAGTGGACGTGCATCACCACTGTCCTCCTCGGGTTTGGCAGTGATGAAACAGACAAGGGCTTGATTCTGAAAACTTTCAGCATCAGTGCAGAAAACTTAATTTTACCAAGAGAGTCGGTAGAAATGGACACTTTCCTGCTGCATATTCAAGGCCTCAGTCTCCAACCCTTTCTCACAAGATACACCCCCTGGGAGCCCACTGGGCTTCAGTGGAGCCACCTGCATAACCCCTGCTGCTGTTCAGGGTGAGGATGCTGGACAGGAGCCCTGTGGTGTAACCAGACTTAGAGACAGAATCATTAAGCTTGGAAAAGACCTCCAAGATCATCAAGTTCAACCCTTGACTGAATAGCACCATGCCCAATAAACCGTGGGCACCCATCTCTAAAGCCTGGGAACCACAAATGCCCAGGTTGTTTACAGCTGTATGCAACACCTGCACATAAGCCTCCACCATCACTCCAGTATCACTCAGCCAACTGATACACATTAGCAGCAGAAACAGAAAGTCTTGTCCAAGACAAGACTCTGGGTTTTGAAAAAATACCAGGAGATACCATTGTCTATTCAAAACAAAGGTCTTTAACTCTTGAAGGTCCATCCTAAAAAATGAAATGTACTGACTTGCATCAACCTTGTGTGGTTCTGGACAGCTGAGAACACATATTGCACCAAAGGAATAAAATGTGCAGTAAGTCAAAGTGGATATTTAAGTGTTCAGGAATAATTAACAATATTTGCATGTTCCAAATTCCAATACTTATTTTGAAAGCAAGTGCTGCAGAGTAGTCAACATATACTGTAGCAATTCCTTAAAGTTATGTTCATCTTTTTTTACTATATATAAAGTTTTAGACATTTAGTTTAGTAGTATACTTTAATTTTGACCACAGGTCAGCAGCTTTTAAGATACCACATGGCACAGTATATCTGGTTCTGTTATGCTTTACAAGTTAACTTTTAGTAAGACACTTTCCACTACGTTTTCCTCAGAGCTCAGAAAAGCCCATCAGTGTAAGCCAGGCTGAATTATAACACAGTGCATTTAGAGAAAATGTCAGTTTAACTATTGGCAAGCAGATACTATTGGAACAGCAGGCAGAAGCTATTTAATTAAAGAAGTATGGGAGAGTGACAACAATACAGAGAGGAGACAGAAGAATATCTGTTCCAATTAGATCCTGGGAAAGCCTTGCATGGAGTGAGCTGTGCAGGGTGCCTGTGCAGCAGATGAGGGATGCTCTGTTGGCAGAGGGGATTGCACCCACACTGCCCCATAACCAGAGCTCCTGGTGATGCTGGTACACAGACCAAGCCACACATGACTCAGGAGACAGTGCTCTTGCTCACAGCCCTGTGCATGAACACGGCATACTCACCAAGGAATGGGATTTCTTAGGGCTGAGGAACCAGGGAAATGTTTACACCACACGTGGTAGACTTGGGCTAAGCATAAAGCAGCACACTGTGTAGACTTCCCAGCTCAGGAGCTCATTAACACCCAGGAATCTAAGCCAAAAGCATCATAAACCTTTTCCATTTTATGCTTTTATCATGCAATCTTATTGA